GACTACAGGTGCCCGCCACCTCGCCCGGCTAGTTTTTTGTATTTTTCGGTAGAGACGGGGTTTCACCGTGTTAGCCAGCATGGTCTCGATCTCCTGACCTCGTGATCCGCCCGCCTTGGCCTCCCAAAGTGCTGGGATTACAGGCTTGAGCCACCGCGCCCGGCCTAGCTGTTCCATCTTTAAGGGACTTACCATGTGGCTACTACGGTGGGAAACACAGGATTGGATGGCAGCTGGTTGCCCCCTCTGGGGAGGCTGACATGTGGAAGGACATTCTCCACTGTATCTGGGGCATGCATATAATGGTCTAGCATGTGGATGCCTGCACTGCACCTACACCACCTGGAAATCAGCAGGTGGACTAGCTAACCCACATTCATCTCCTAGAGGAAGTTCTGTTTCTAACTTCCAAAAAGGTGTTGGAAACAGAAGATGTGGTCCACTGGCTACCAAAAAAAAAAGGACATTGAGAACAAGGTACCCTTTGGGCCTAAGGATGAGTACTTGCTTGTGGGGAGACCGGACCTGGCTTTTCCTTAGCAGTTGAGAGATGTCAGACCTGCTGGTTGGTTGACCCTGTCAATGCTGCTGGTGTGTGCTACCTGATCAGAGATGGTGAGCATTAACCAATTTATACCTGAGGTTGTGCTGCTGGTGTGTGCTGCCTGATCAGAGATGGTGAGCGTTAACCCATTTGCGTCTGAGGTTGCAGTTTTTTAAATTTGAAAAATCGGACTTTGGTGATGACCTTGAGTCGCAATAGGATGTAAATAATTCCCACATGCTTAGCATTCCAATAATGGAACACTAGGCATAAATGGGGTTAATGCTTTCTTGAATAATTTGTGTTACAAGAGTCTCCAAAAGTTCCAGTTTCACCCTCCCCCAATACCTATTTCTCCCTGTCTTTACCTGTTGCAGATCAGTCCTTGGTCCAGCCCCCAGAAAGGCAGGTAACCCCAGGGCATCTTGTGCATGTCAGGGTTAGTGGGGGGCCCAGTGTGTGTACTGTAGACACCCATTTCTTTGTTTTGTGGTGGAGCAGTTCATCAGGAATCCTGCCGTTTGCACATGATCAGCTAAGTGAAAGGTCCATCCCCAGCCACCGTTATGCTCATTCCTCTGACCCCCCCACTCTCCTCTATATTGCTTTTGTAGTAATTTATGTGTGGACCAACTCCCTTGCAGGGTAATTTTGGACTGTCAACATAAAGCAGCACAGCCTTGATAATGGGTGATCAGAAGCTCAGTGTTCCTCTCTCCATACTGAGGCTTACAATAGACTCCTGGGTCTTCATGAACCCATAGTGTTCCCCATGGGTTCTGTGTTCCATGACCAGTGGTTTTCAGATGCTCAGTGTTCTTCCTGGTTATTGGGAACCCACACCCAGCTGGCCTCTATGGCCATCTGACAGCACTTCAGATGTATGGCTGATGGGAGGTGCCTGACTTCTTGTTTGTCCTCTGATGCCCATGTATTTGTTACCCTTGCCTGACAGTTCCTCTGCCTCCCAGCATATGGCCAGAGGCGCGCCTTTAGCACCTCGGACAGAGCCCCCATTCATCCTGGGGCGGGTGGCCAGCTTTTTGTGGGAGCATGGTGGGCAACTGAGAAGTCTTCCACAGTGGGATAGAGAGTCCTGGGATGTAGGAACCAGCCCTACAGGGTCTGTGGGTTTTTCTCCCCGTGTGTGGAGATAAGCGATCATAGGAATAAAGTCATAAAACAGATAAAAGAAAAAACGGCTGGGCCCGGGGGACCACTACCACCAAGACGCGGTGACCGGTAGTGGCCCCAAGTGCCGGGCTGCACTGTTGTTTATTGGATACAAGACAAGGGGGCAGGATAAGGAGTGTGAGCCATCTCCAATGATAGGTAAGGTCACGTGGGTCACATGTCCACTGGACAGGGGGCCCTTCCCTGTTTGGTAGCCGAGGCAGGGGGAGAGAGAGAGGAGACAGCTTATGCCATTATTTTTGCATTTCAGAGACTTTCAGTACTTTCACTAATTCTGCTACTGCTATCTAGAAGGCAGAGCCAGGTGTACAGGATGGAACATGAAAGTGCACCAGGAGCCTGACTGCTGAAGCACAGCATCCCACAAGGAGACAGGCCTCCAGATAAATCTTCCACAAGAGGTGGTGGAGCAGAGTCTTCTGTGACTCCCTTTCCCAGTCTGCTAAGTAGGGGGTGCTTTTCCTAGGCACTGACGCTACCACTAGACCAAGGTCCACTAGGTAACGGGCATCTTCCCAGGTGCTGGCATTACCACTAGACTAAGGAGCCCTCTAGTGGCCCTGTCCAGGCATAACAGAAGGCTCACACTCATCTTCTGGTCACTTCTCAGCATGTCCCTTCAGCTCCTGTCTCTGTATGGCCTTGTTTCTCCTAAGTTATAATTGTAGAGCGAAGATTATTATAACATTGGAATAAAGAGTAATTGCTACA